TCTCAAGGGCTGAAATGGCATTACATAGCTGTTCCTCAACAAATCTTTGGCACTTACCCACACACCAGCTTAGGGCTATCAGCAGCTTGGCCTGCAGAAGGCAGACCAAAAAAATTGGGGTTCTGCTAACAAGGAACAAGGCAGGCAATCCTACAATATTTGCAACACTCCTTTTGTGCTGTTTGACAATATGCACACTGTTCACAATCCCACTCACTTCCAGGTGTTGTTGCTGACTCTGGCAGGATGATAAAATGTACTTTGCATAAATTTTTGGTCCCCAGGGCCCACTCCATACCTCTGGTTCATGTGCTAGATACCTCTGCAGTCCCTAGGCAAACACCCCGGATGAACAGAACATGCTGGCAACCTCTGGGGAAAGGGAGGGGTCAAGCCAGACACAGAGTATCCTCTTCCTGGTCACCAGTAGGACCCAAGATCAGCACAGTGGCAGCAGGTCTCCTACTTGGCTTCAGTGGTCAAGGCCAGAACCTCCCCAGAAGTCCCTCCCAGCTGTGTAACTATGATTCTGCTCATGAAATGAAAATAGCTTTTCAACCACTTCTTAGAGTAAAACAAATGTTTAAGAAAATCCCATTTCCTAGCCTTCATCCATACTCTTTCTCCAGCGTATTAAAGAAAAAAATTCAGAGAGTGGCTGGGCGCGGTGGCTCACACCTGTAATACTAGTACTTTGGGAGGCCAAGGCGGGTGGATCACCTGAGGTCAGGAGTTCGAGACCAGCCAGACCAACATGGCAAAAATATGTATTAAAAATACAAAAATACTAAATACCAAATACTAAAAATACAAAAATTAGCCAGGCGTGGTGGCATGTGCCTGTAATCCCAGCTACTCGGGAGGCTGAGATAGGAGAAACACTCGAACCCGGGAGGCGGAAGTTGCAGTGAGCCGAGATCATGCCACTGCACTCCAGCCTGGGTGACAGAGCTAGACTCTGTCTCAAAATAAATAAATAAAATAAATAAATAAGTAAACTCAGAGTGGCCCAAATCTACAGTCACCTGCCTATATGGCCAAGTCCCATTAATTCTACCTTTACCCTGTCTTTAGTGCCTCTCTATTTCTCACCTCCATCACCTGTGACCTTCCTGTCTCCCTGAGCATCTCACCAAGGCTGGAAACTCCTAACTCCTTCAGGGCCTTCCTAAGACACAGGTTGGGTGTTTTATCCAGCTTCCTCAGAAGCCTCAATGCTCTCCTCCCCTAACCCCAAGAAGGAAGTTCAAGCTGCTGGCAAGGCTCTGCCTCCCAGCCCCATTCTCCCTCTTGCCCTGTTTAGCCTCCCTCCTAACATGTTCTATGTCTTTTCCTAAATGCTTTCACCCTCTGGGCCTTTTCTCCTGATGGTCTCATGTGCTGTAGCACCTTCTCTGCCATCACAATTCTAGTCACGTCAAGGTTCAGTCCAAGGACACATCCACAAACCCGACTCTGCTGGAGAAGTGCCCTTCCTCCTTGGGCTATCATGCTTATTCCTCTAGCTCCTGTTTCCCCTGCCCTGCATTCTAGAATACGGTTTGTATGTCAATCTCTCATCTATCTTCCACACAGCTTTCCATTCAGAGAGAGCCTTATTTACCCCTGGACCCCCCAGAACTCTTACCTTCTAGGTTCAATGTTTGTTGCATAAATTAGTGAAAAATCCACAGCAAAATCTCACTCAGTTTTCTTCTGACTCTTCAGATGTACTCTGGTTATTTTCCTAAATCAGCCTACTGTCTTCAGGCATAAGTCAGGAGAGAAATTGCTGAGAGAATCTGCATTTTCTGAGCTATCATATGGAGCAGGTGGGGCAAGAATTATTGACTTCATGAACAGATTAGGAAAAGAGATGGAAAAACTTTTTGTCACATATCTAGTAAGCAGCAGGGCACAGAGACTCCAGAGCAGGATATCTGATTCCAAAAACAGAAGACAAAATTCTTGTCCTCAAGAAACTTACAGTCTAGTCGTAACTGTAAGACAAATACACCAAAAGGCAAATAACTTATTCAGAGCAGGGTTTCTCACCCTTAGCACTACTGATATTTGGGGCTAGACAATTCTCCATGTATGGGCTGTCCTGCATGCTATAGGATGTTTAACAGTAGATTTCTCCTCTACCCACTTGATGCCAGCAACACTTACCCTGCCCAACCCTGTTGTGACAACCACAAATGTCTCTAGACATTGCCTTGCAGAATCACTGATTTACAGCAACTGCCAAGTTTATCTCTCAACCACTGCAATCATACAACCTCACCATTAGGATCCTTTCCCTGACAATTATCAGACATAGGTCTGCAGTGCCCTCCGGCAGCAGGCTGGATCTTACCCACCCACTCCTGACTTTATCATTATACGATTCTGCCTACATTTTCCCTTCAAGCTGAATTATTTAATTTTCATGCTGAGGTCTCAGTAGGACAGCTTCAAATCCTTTTCAGAATGACACAAGGTAGGGGTAAAAATAATCCAGTCGCAGGACAGGAGAAAACACACACCATAAGGTCATGTGATTACTGGGAAATTATCCTATTCTTGAAAATTTCCCAAATCCCTTTTCATAACACTGCCATCACAGTGTGAACCAGACGCCAAAGGTGGACAAGAGTTCTTTCAGTCCTGGCCCTCTTGGTTAGAATGGGCTTCACCAAAGAGCTGAGCATGAGAGCTGTCTGCCCAAGCACGAATTCCAGAAAAAACTCAGGAGCAAAGGCCCAGAGTTGGGAAGTCATGAATCTCAGTGAGATTTTCTAAACATACAAACTCCATATTTCTACAAGCTTTAAAACTAGAAACCTAGTTGTTTTCACTTTCTGACCTTAATCTAACTTAGAAATGAAGCTTATTTCGGTCAATTCTAAAATAAAATATATAGAGAATACTATATCCAAGAACACAAAGTAAAATGTGTATGTATGAACAATACCTGACATACATAACTTCTATATAAATGATAGCTATTATTATATATCTCAATTTAACAATCTTTTATATTTGGTCACAGGATAAAATGGAAGACGTAAGTTTTATTTTACCAAGACCCAGAAGTAGAGTTATAAGTCCAAAAATTTATAGCTAGTAAATGATGCAGTTTTGAACCCAGTCTGATTCTACATTCAAGGCTCATTTCACTGCAATGTGACAACTTCAAGATTAACTTATTGATAACCTTAGACAAGTGCTTCTCAACTGGGGGTGATTTTGGCTACCAATGGACATTGGCAATGACTGGAGATATTTTTGGTTGATACAACTAGGTGGTGGTTGTGAAGTGCTACTGGCACCTGGTGGGTAGAGGCGAAGGATACTAGAAACATTCCATAACATAGATGACAATCACACAATCTTATGGCCCAAAACGTCAACCTGCTGAAGTTGGGAAACCCTCCCTTAGAGGTTTCTTTATTATCAGCCAAGAAAATGAAGACCATAGCACACCTACACTTCAACAAATACTTCTTTCCCTGTCATAGCTGCCCTCTCTACTTTGAATGGATTCCCTGCCACACCAGAGAAAAATGTTGAGCTCTCTGCTACTTCCCCCTTCAGACTCTCGAAAAACAGAAAAACTATGTTCATGCTGGGTGCAGTGGCTCACGCCTGTAGTCCCAGCTACTCAGGATGCTGAGACAGGAAGATCCCTTGAGCCCAGGCATTTGAGTCTGGGCAACAGTGCAAGATCCCACTTCTATTAAAAAAAAAAAAAAGTTATGTTCGTGCTTCACGAGATAGGAGACATGAATACAGAACGAGGAAGCCAGAAAGTGCAATGATGTGCTTTCCAAAAGCAAGCACAATTTTATTGGCCACTACCCACCCCTTAGGCTATTGGCTGAGCAGCCCCTGCTCCCAGCAGCCACCAATACTCCTATAGTCTTTAAAGGCCTGCTCAGCAGTGATTCAGACCAGCATCATTTCTTCCAGGGCAGTGGTAATTTACCTCTGACAGTCCTTCTGAATATTCCATGAAATTTTAAAGGAAAGGAAATTTGACAAAGAACAAGTTTAAAAGAAATTAAATCCCATCCTGCCAGAGTCGTCATATCTTTTTTTTTTTCCTTTGAGATGGAGTCTTGCTCTGCCAGGCTGCAGTGCAGTGGCGCAATCTCGGCTTACTGCAATCTCTACCTCTCGGGTTCAAGCAATTCTTCTGCCTAGCCTCCCGAGTAGCTGGGACTACAGGTGCGCGCCACCACACTCAGCTAATTTTCGTATTTTTAGTAGAGATGGGGTTTCACCATATTGGCCAGGGTGGTCTCAATCTCTTGACCTCTTGATCCACCCACCTCAGCTTCCCAAAGTGCTGGGATTACAGGTGTGAGCCACCATGCCCAACCTCTTTTTATTATTACTTATTATCTCAGATTTCTAAAGCACTTTACAGTTTGGGGAGCGTTTTTGTATCTACGCTCCCAACTGAGTATCACGAGCATACTGTGAAGTGGTTAGAACAGATATTATCATGCTCTGTTCTAGGGCTGTAGAGAGGCCCTCAGCAACAAGGGCCACTGTTGCGCTTGCTCCGCCAGGCTGATGCACTTGGCTGCTGATCTGAATGTAGTCTCTTATTCATTTGTACCTAGTTCATCACTTAAGCATGTTGACTTCCTTATGTTTACATAAATAAAACTATTGGCCTACAAAGGAGCTTATCAAAAAGGAACAAGTTACCTGACAGTAGAGGAGAGGCTGGAGAAGGGCAGGCTATTCACACAAACTGATTTAGGTAAAGCATTTTAACATAAAAATTCCATCAGACCTTTACACAGTAAACTAGTTCATAATAACATTTTTCCTTTCCTAATCACAAGCATCATAATTCATAATTACAACATTTGTCCAGTTCTCCAGGGAAAGATCTGCACAGTACACATCAGGAAACGCTCTTGGAGATCAAGAGGAGAAATGAAACTGAAACTCAAGACTTCTGCTTTCATGCACTGTAAACCTAACTTCATCTTGATAAATTATGAAAACCTCACCTTTCTGACCTGTTTTAGCCAATATTTATCACATACCCATCATGTGGAAGAGGTTGCTCAATGCAGCAGGGCATACAGAAGGGATTGAGGCAGTCCCTACCCTGGGGGCATATGGAAAGTGCCCCCAACACCGTCCATGCAAGGCAAAACACACAGACAGTGATACAGCACATCTACCGGGGTAACTCAGGATGAACCGTTTCAAAAGAAACATGTGACCTCACCTAGTCTCTGAAAAATGGGAAAGACATCACATAAGATGGAAAGGGAGAGAGGTAGCAGGAGAACACAGACATTATCAGTTCAGTTCAGTTGTGGTAGTAGAGCGCATTCTGGGACCAAATTCAAAACGAAAAAGCCACATGTTAAAGTATCTATTCTTCTCGCTCTTAAAGAAAACGGTAGCACCCTCTAGTCGCATTGCAAAGTAGAAATGAGGAACAAGACAGCATCAGGGTGACCTGATCAGGGTGACTCTTGCCTGTCAAGAGTCAGAGACAGGCCAGAATCACGCCCTGGGCTGCAGGAGTCTCCCTGGGTTGATTTCTGTGCTACAGTGCTGTCAGCAGAGTGGGGTGGGGGAGGGGGGTGCGCTTTTTTTCATCTCCCTGGGGAGCAAACACCAACTCTTGCAGCAGTTCTGCCAACAAGGCAGAACTATGACGAAACTGATTACCACTAGCCTCTCTGTATCAGGGTCAAGATACGGGGCGGATGAGTGTTCCCCAAGGGTGTGCTTAGAGGCCACCGCCACAGAGCTAAGGAAGCCCCTCTCCTAGAACACACCTGTGCCCAACTCTAGTTCACCCTGACGTCCCAGCTCAGCATTAATCGTGGATCCTTCGGCGGGGACCCTGGGCCCCCAAGCCCTCCTATTCAGGGACCACAATTCCCCAACTGGGGGCACTGTCACCAGATCCAGAGGGGCAGTAACAGTCCCTCTTGCAGATTTCAGATCTTCACCCTACCATTGAAAGGCCACAAGGGGGATTTCGTCCCGGTTTCACCTTCAGGACTGTCTGAGTACTTCCCGGGCGATGCAGACCAGTGGAAGGCACTGGCCGGCACCAAGGCCCGCTCCTGGGAGCCAGGCCGGGGCCCCTCCAGGGACCACAGGTGGGCAGCGGAGGACTCAGAGCAAGGGCCAGGGGCGAAGATGGCCTTCGCTGCGGTCAACCCGGAGCACGTGCTGGGGCTCACCGGCCTCCCCGCGCTGAGGGCAAAGTCCGCTCCCGCCGGCTTCTTGGCTTGGGCACCGGGTACCGGGCGTCAGGGGCGAGGCAGGCAGGACTTGCGCGCGCCCCGACTCGACACCAGACCCCGCTGCGGTCAACCCGGAGCACGTGCTGGGGCTCACCGGCCTCCCCGCGCTGAGGGCAAAGTCCGCTCCCGCCGGCTTCTTGGCTTGGGCACCGG